TAATGGAAGAAGGAGGAATACGAGATTACCTGTTGAAGAAGAGCTGCGCTGATCTACTTCCAAATAATAATGGCATAATTTGTAATATCTTACCTGGATACCCACTGAGGCTGTGAACTGAGACCAAGCGGGCCAGTCATCCTGATCAAAAGGATCTTCAATAGACACCACTAGAGGGAAGGACACATGGGTAAGATCATTTTCCTCCATGACTCAAATATTACAACACTGTAGGAGAAACACAAGGCTAGCTGAAATCACTAGTAGCTGTTCTAATGCCTTTAGATCTACTGATATTAATTACAGATGCAAACATGCACACAGCCCACAAATAGTATGCACACCATTTACAGGGTAAAGACCCACATCAGAGCAGTACCCCGCTTGCCAAATTTGCAATGTAGCACATAATTAAATCTTCCTTAACCACTTCATGTGTCGGGAGGCGAGACCAGGCTCTTTCTGCCTCCCCTTTTCTCTTTTTCTTTGACTATTTCTTTCTAAAATGTGACAAAAGAAATATGGTGGGAGGAAAAAAACATGGAGTCGACTGCGATAGCCCTGATGCTTTGATTCAAGCTGACTAAGGCTTAAAGAAATCAATAACACCCTTTTTTTTTTTTTTAATGACTAAGAGGTGCCCACATTGTGCTCTCTGGAGAACATGTGTACTCACACACCACATTACACACCTGGGTAGTTATTAATGAACCCCTGGTAGATGGCAGCCAGCTCATCAGCGGTGATGTTGCGGGCAGCATTTGGTGGAGACTTAAAGTCCAGGTCATATTTGCCCTCGCTGAAGAACTCTGAAGCAGCAACATCCATCCCTATCACCACCTTATCTGTGAAGCCCGCCTTCTCTATGGCTGTCTTTATCAGCTCCAGAGCTGACAGGAAGAAACAGGAGCGATATGTTAGATTAGGCTGAAGGAAATTGTTTTCAGGTGGTCGCCGTGCTTACCTTCACTGTTCTCTTGTATGTTAGGGGCAAACCCTCCTTCATCACCCACATTTGTAGCATCCTGACCATATTTCTCCTTTATGACACTTCTCAGTGTCTGGTAGAGCTCCGCCCCCACACGCAGAGCATCACGGAAAGACTCAGCACCCACTGGAAGAACCATGAACTCCTGCATGGCCAGCCTGTTCCCAGCGTGAGAGCCTCCATTGATCACATTAAAAGCCTAAAAGAATTTCAGAAGGATTTGTTTTTTTATAGTTGGTCATTTATGTTTGGAGAAAATGTTTGGTTTTTTTTTACCAACTATAAAACTCACAGGAACAGGGAGGACCAGCTCTCTGTTTCCTGCCAGGTCAGCAATGTGACGGTACAGGGGGACACCTTTCTCTGCTGCGCCAGCTTTGCATATGGCCAGCGATACTCCCAGAATAGAGTTGGCACCAAACTTAGCTGGAGGCGAAATAGAGGCAGTCACAAACATAACGCACACATGCAGTCGGTACTCACTGGTGCGGAAACATGTCAGTACACATATATACCATCACCCCACACGAGATGTGAGCGAGGCTTACATTTGTTGTCAGTGCCGTCCATTTCAATCATCACATTGTCCAGCTTCTCCTGCTCCAGCACACTGATTCCCTGGAAGAAAAACACAATATTCCTCATACAGTAAACAGATTTTTTTCATTTCAGTCCCGCTCGGCTGCTCATCAGGTTCTGCAGCATAAACTCAATATTCTTTTGTTTATCCCATCACTTTGCTGGATGAATCCCCATCATTTACTATCTTAATAGAGCATTTTGCTCTCACAATACAGGCTTACTTGTGGTTCCTCCAGATTTAAAGGGAGGCAGTGCTTCAGCTATTGCGCCCATCTCTCCAGGTTTGGGTTCAAGCTCTCCCTTTTTTTGATACATCTTATAGCTAGTGTTGGATTAGATGACCCTGAGGTATCCCTTAGTTCAGGGGTGGCTAACTCTAGGCCTCGAGAGCCAGTGTCCTGCAGGTTTTAGATGTGTCCTTGATCCATCACAGCTGATTTAAATGGCTAAATTACCTCCTCAACATTTCTTGAAGTTCTCCAGAGGCCTAGTAATGAACTAATCATTTGAATCAGGTTTGTTGATCCAGGGTGATATCTAAAACCTGCAGGACACCGGCTCTCGAAGCCTGGAGTTGGCCACCCCCTGCCTTAGTTACACTGATGTAGCCTTAAGCTGATGCACTGATCACTTCCTCTCTTCCTATGCATTTTTATGTCACTATTGCACTGCATTAACTGTGTATCTTCTCCCTTTGTTTTTGCCCATTGTTTCTCTTTACCCTCAGCCTAACTGGCTGCAACAGATGGCTGCCCCTCCCTGAGCCAAATGCTGCTGAAGATTTCTTCTGAGCAAAACGAAGCCAATGCCAAAATGCTAAATCTGCAGTTCCTTGTATGGCGACTTGGGGTTCTGTCCAACAGTGACTCACATGTTTAAAGTCAAAACCTTAGCCTGGTAAATAACATATTTACACGGGACTGTAGTCTCTATGGCTAATTAACATTACAGGAGTGTGGACACTCTGACCTGCATATATTCCAACACAACGAGCTGGAGCCAGTTGTTGTTTGCTAGGCCTCAAGCAGTAAACTCCACTTAATGAACAGGACCTCTGCCTTTTGGCACCAACAGTACTAATAATATAACATGCAATGAAGCATGGCCCATCCAAAAGGATGAGTAAACCTCTCGTATTTTAAGCAGTATGTCACTTAGCACTGATTAGCAGGTGTGCCTGTATAACAAAAACAAAACAAATACAGCTAGGCTTCATAATGTGGAGCCAATCTAGAAATCAATGTCATGCTGGCTTCACCCATCTTCTATATACAGTCTATGGAGTCTTCTTCTCCCACACTGTTTGGTGATAGAGGCGCATGTGATGTTTTTGGTTCTCTCTGTAATACTATAACATTTCACTTACAACAGAAAGCACCTTGGAGTTACTGTTGGTTGTGAACTCGTGCTATGTACAGTAAACAAAACTGAACTGAGCCAAAGTGAAGTACTCACAGACTGGATGAGGGCGGGTCCAAGGGTGTCATTAATGTGAGCAACAGCCTTTGTCACACCTTTAGTGCAAAACATGTGGAGCCAGTTAGTCCCCATTTTGTTACAATAAGGAAAAGAACCATCATGCAAAATCAGATACAGGCAGAAAAACAAGAGCGCTTAGTGCAGGGGAGACATCTTTGTAAGTGTTCACACCTTTGCCCTTGTAGCGAGTCTTGTCGCCATCTCGGAGCTCCAGAGCCTCGTAGATGCCTGTGGAGGCACCACTGGGAACAGCAGCCCTGAAAAGACCTGGAATCGAAGCATATGATTGGTGGGTGGATAGAGGAGGCAGATGTAATGGGGTGAAAGGTTGAGGGAGAGGAAAGAGGATGGAGAAGGATGTAGTTAACCTTAATGAAATAATCTAAACATTAATTTGAGACATTACACAAGAGATTTTATTTTTTCTAAACCTTTGTCTGTATGCAGATCTACTTCCACAGTGGGGTTTCCCCTGGAGTCCAAGATCTCCCTGGCAACAATATTCACTATAGACATCCTGTTAAAAAAAATAAAAAAAATAAAAACAAGGGAACATTGGCCTCATTTCAAATGCAGATTTCATCCAGTGCTCATACACTCAGTCAATGTTATTTTAATTAGAGAAGGAAACACATGAGCAAGCAAAGCTGCGCGTGAAGATGAAGCTCTGTATGAAAATAGCCTGTGAAATACCAAAAGCACTCATATGAAAAACAAGGACTTCACACTCTCTTCCTCTTTTCCACTTGAACACACACTGTGATGATAGTGACGCAGCCTTGAGGATGGAAAGCTGTGGAAAAAGAAGCTCTCAAGGAAGATGCTCACACTCACACAGAGAAAAACATGAATCAGAAACCAGTGGTGCGCACCTACTTAAAAATCTGTCAACCTGTTCCAGACCACAAACCAGCTCAATTTCTCGCCTGTTTCAGTCAGTGACAGAGAGCACGGACCAACTGAGAGATGAGACGCAAAAGACAGCGCAGGTAGCGACGAGGAGATGGGGGAGGGGAGCGGGATGAGAGGGATGGAGGGACTGAAGAAACAGATCAATCTTTTTAAACGTTACCTGCAGCTTGTTTGAAGCCTGGTGGAGAAAGTGAGCGAATGTGGGCGAATGAGGAGCAATAGCGGGAAGGGGAGGTGGGAGGAGAAGGGGTGAAAACGTATGACACACGGGGGGGAGGGTGAGCATGTGAGTCATTGGAAGATGCAGAGGAGGGGAGGGAACAAAGCAAGGAGAGAGGAAAAAGAGATAGGAAGGAGGAATTGAGTAGAAGAGCTGGAGCAATGTGGATTTGTGTATTAATAGGGGTGCAGGAAACAATGTAACCATCTGAGCATTTAACATACACCGCTACTTTACACCCACGCAGTCCTGTCATACGTGCTGCGTACACATCTGTTCACTGCTGATAACTACAGAGGCACTCGTGACATGAAAATATTGTCCCAGCAAACTGATACATGAAACGTTCATTTGCGCTTCCTGTCAGGTCCAAGCAGCGCTGCGATACAGCTGAAGTAAGTGCATGTGGATGACAGGCAGGAGATGTGACAACAAAGCAACGACAAGGAGGATGCATCTTAGCAAAGACAGCAGAAAATAAGGCGCCTTGTCGGGGAACGTTAGAGATCTAATGATAGGGATTAAAGGAAACAAGAAGACAGGTAGACGGGAGCAGCCGCTGCCGGAGGGAGGATGTGCATTTAAAAATAGTCTTAGATGTAATTAAAGATACAGCCAGCACGAGCAAAATGCAGACGGGAAGCTATGGGGCGTTTGGAGAAAAGGAAAGTTTTTCATTGGCTGCCCCGCTTGAACGTGCCATCTGGACATCACATGACCTGCAGACACGGTGGCACAGGGAAGATGAAGAGGGCGCACACCTATGAATGCGTGCATGCATGTGTATGTAGACTTGCATTGACACAAATGAACACGTTATTTAGCTGTCAATACATTTTATGAATAAGCAAGGGTTTAAAAAACAAAAGGAAAAATACAGAATCGGAAAACTCTTTAAACAACACTCCATAATTTAAGACATGCAACCCCAAAACATCAAAACAGAGGCACACTTTGCAATTATCTAACAATGTTTAATGAACTTTTTATTTATTACATTAATTAGTTATCAGTATACAATTCAATTCACCGACACACGAGTGTCTTCACAAACATAAAATGGATTGTACAGCAGATGTACTGTATACTGTAGCACTTTAGTGCAGTGGGCAAAGACACATGTCAAGTTTAGAGAATGAGTGTTTATATATATTTATACATTAAGTGAGTGTAGTTATACCCATGTTTACACAGGGGCGTTTGTAAGTGTGTCTGTGTGTGTAAGAGTAAAGAATTTAAACTCTAACCATTGTGTGTGTGTGTGTGTGTGTGTATAATATGTTGTTCATGTAAAGACAGTCCAGTCATATCAAACATTTATGGCGGGCATCAACTTCCCGTCCTCATCGTGGTTCACAGCATCGGGGAAATCCTCAACTCCTTCAATCTGGTCGCATTGTTATACGGAACACCTGGAGGGACAAACACACAATGCCAAAAAAGTGCATTAGATAAACTAAACTGAGTGACTGGTAGCTATATTGTGGGCCATAGATCACTGAGGCGTGATCTATGGCCCACAACTACTAATAGGCTTGCTCACACCTTTGCACAGCACTGAGACCCCAACACAGTGCTGGGATTTTGTGGCTGCTGTGCATTAGCCTAAAGGCCTTAAGATTCCTAGAAGAAAATGATCAGGCTACGGTGGCGGTGCAAACAGTAAACAGAGAAGAAAACAACCTTTTTTTAAAATTATTTTTTAACGGTAAGAAGGTTTATTTGGGTATTGCTGAAATTAAGTCGATGAAATTATGAGACATGATCAGATAGATTGAACAGGCCATGTGCTGTTATAAGGTTTCAGAAGCTCTTCTATATACACAGGAGCCTGGCCATATAAGGTTTTATATGTTATAATTAATATTTCAAAATTAACTTCACTGGAAGCCAGTGAGGCCCGCCGCTCTCTGCGATGCGGCATATGGTCGCCTGCTCATCCCAGTGAGCTAAACTGGTACCCCTGCCATTTTAATGATATATTAATACAGAAGCTCCGAGATTCAAAGGTTATACAGAGGGAGACTTTCTGGAAAAATAAAAAAAGACTTTGGAAAAAAACTTCTCACTTCTTCACTTCCTATACTAAGAGTAATGTGGAGGTTTTGTCCGAGTAATGGCACCTATTGTTCAGGAGGATACTGCAGCAGGTACTCATGTGTGAAGAGCAGTCTCAGAAAAGTGTTAAAACAAGGGCAGTAAACCATTCTGTAGAACTATGTAGGGAAAACAGCTGGCATTGTTTAATCTCCTAGCATTCGAGGTACAAATGAACAAAAGCAAATCAAAAAGCAGTGACAACTTTTAGCATTTATAATTTCTTACTGTGCAAACCAATATACTGCGAAAAAGTATTTATAAGAGTAAAATATGGCCATTTAACTTTATGTCTGATAACACACGTTCAGAAATTAATAAGCTCACAACAGATTACAACAATTATAATAATAGTGGCACAATGATCTCTGACATCTCTCTTACCTTCTCACCAGTCGTAACGTGGGCGGGTGTGGGGCTGACGGTGTCTGGGGGACTCATGCCGATGACCTGGTGGGGACGTTGAACTGGGAGGAGCAGTAAGAGCGAGCTGCTGGCCGCCTCCTCGCCGATCGCGGCCGTAGTCCAACCCACGAGCATTCGGGGGAGCGTATCTTCCTGCTTCTCTTCTCCACTCCTCGTCAAATGCTGGAGCCTCACCTAGCAGGAACAAACACCGGGTTAAGAGCCAAAAAGAAAAAAAAAAAGAAATCACACGTGTGTGAAGCGAGACCATCAAAGTCACAATTCCTCATTCATCTCCTTTGCCCCTTTTTTAAATTCAATTCCAATTAGCTTGAATAGTAGGTGAAGCCTGAGCTAAGATTAGTGTTGTAATCAGGGTCGACTCACTCTCATCCAGGTTAATGTAGTCTTGCCGTTCTTCACAGTCTCCAGTGCGGCGATTTCGTGAACGCGCCATTATGTGTGCACGGTCTCCAATGTGGTGGCCAATGGAAAGACCCTCCAGGCCGCTCTCGCTGTCCCTCACCGACTGCCGCGTCTCACGGATCTGGGGGAAAAAAAACAAACAAATCAAAAAATACCTCAGATTAGAAAATCAGGCAGGAAGGAATGAACTTAAGTTCATCTCTGATATTTATACTGTACATAATCTATTTACAGTCACTACACTTACTGATGTTAATGAGGCCAGCAGACTAATTAGGCCCAGCCACTGAGCAGGTCTACTTACATGGCTCTGACTACAACTTCGTATATATATTTGAACTAATATGAGTTATTCCTACCCCCCCTGGGCCTGTCCTTGTTTCACTGGTCTGCTGATAAACTTTAGGAGCCCCTGGGTCTGTTGACGAATATGAGATCACTGTTGAGGAGGAAAACGTCTGACAGTTTGGTGAACCAGACATTCTGTCCTGGAAGAAGAAAAATAATGGAAAGTAAATAGAAATGATGGAGAACTAGTGAGACACATTTCATTTACGACAGTAATTCCTTTGTTTATTTGGAAAGAAAAAACAACTCACCACGTTTCCCATCATTTCTCCCATCATGCCAAACATATCCATGAACCCTCCACCCTGCAAGCAATAAGAGGATCTTTACATTTCTCATTTGAGTAATCCCCAACCACAGGCAGAAAAGCAGCATACATTGTGTGTTGAGTGCACAGTTGTCAATAACCACTTTTCCAGTGCAGGAGCTCGTGGCAGCCATGAGGTGCTGCACAGCGCCATAAACAGCCCTTTCAGCCTCTCTGTTTTCCAATGTGGTCTAGAACCCTTTGACAATATAACAACAGTGGACACTGTTGCGTCCACCAATACTGGAGAATTTCACAGTGTTGATAGCTACTCTTCTTCTTGTTTCTGACTGGTAGACGGTTGTTTTGTTTTCAAGATTAACCAATTAACTGGGCCACTCAAATATCTAACCTAGAGTATGCACTTCTATCCTAAAAACAGACTGAAAGATGTTCTATGATGGCAGTTCCCATTGTTGGAAAACGCCCAAAAGTGTTACGTTTTATAGGAGAAAACATTCTTTGAGCAATCCCCTTAAATTTTTTAACCCTTTATTTAATCCAGGATCATCAGGGAGGAGATGAAATACACCCTGCACAGGCCAAACAAAGATAAACAACTGACACGAATGTCTGTGGACTGTGTGAAGAAGCTGGGGCACCCAGGTTAAGGAGAACATGCAAACTCAACACAGAAAGATGGCCAGCAGGATTAAACTTGGTGGCTTATTCCTGTATGGCAGCAGTGATAACCGCTGAACCACCATAATCATAAAATCCATATAATAAATGACAAAACTTATTTTATTATTTTAAATCAGCAGTCATTCTTTTAAGATTTAAGATTTGTTTAAGGTAATAACAGATCTGGGTAATGTGCATTTATTTATTTTGTTGCATTTTTATTCAGATTTACTTTTTTACTTTTCTATATTTAACCGAGCTCCTTCCTTGCATATTTTTTTACTTTATTTAGAGATTTTGCTTTGCCATATTGTAATGAGCTGGTTTCACACTGACACTCTGTAAAAAGTCAGAAAAAGCTAGTTCAGACACAGCAGGAGATGACTTGCGGTGTGTTCTCTCTAGAGAGAACATACTTGGCGAAGGAGCTGCCTGATGAAAGGGTACAGGAAGCAGGACACTCGATGCCAACTCATTAGCTATTATTAACTATTAATACTGGTGCTATTTTTTCTTATTCGAGAAAATCAATAAACTTAAACTTTGCACCACCTACGTTGTGCAATACCTTGAAATGTTCAGGGCTACAGAGTTTTGGGGATGTAAACCTCAATCTAATCTATTAAGAAGTCTAATATAATTACACTGGAGCCTATCAATCATCAGTCAGAATATCATCATGAGGCTGGTGACAGAATTAAGACTTCTGTAATTCCTTTAATGAAAATTAAGTCACCATGCACCGTGTTTGCAGTTGTTAAAAGAGGTCATAGAAGGTGTTACTAACCATTCCCATCATGCCAAAAGGAGCCAGAGGGCCAGCCTAAAAGACAAATATACACATTAAAATTTTAAAAAAGGCAGTAAACAAATAAGCTAATCTGGACATACAAAACTCATACAAAGTATCTATCAGCACAGAGTCTGTTACCTGTCTGCGTGATGCACGATGTGGCTGCATCTGAGGAGCAAGAGGGAAAGGCTCCATCCCAAATGGTCCAAACAGACTCCTCATCTGCTGCCTGTGAGCTGCAAACGGATCCCTGGAAGAAATCAAAAGCATTTATCAGACTTTTGTGTTCGATTTCGCATGTATGAATCAATTGAGTGTAGCTGTGTGAACTGTACTCACATAGGTGAAGGTAAACTGAAAACGACACAAGGAGGAAAACTGTAAACTTTCAAGTACAAGGCAAATACTCCAGCAAAGTGTTTCAAGTTCCACTGGGTTTGTGAGCCCAGTTAGCCATCCATTATTTTGCTTTATTATTTTTTTCAGTATGGGGGTTTAATACAAGAAAAGCCAGTAATGTAAGAAAATTATAGTGTATTTTGTATACATATAAAAAAATTAACAAATTCACACAGCGAACTCTTCTCTCATGCGCCCTGCTTTATTAACCAGGCTATCAGCCACCTTTGTTTTCATTATTTTCATAATCTGAATATTGTTTCAACAAGCAAGTCAATCAACTGACACATCGTTTTGTAGCTAAAGTGATTTTCCAACCAGGGACCAGTGAATGTCAATGAAATTTTGCTACTGTTTTTTCTTTTTCTTTCATTTTTTTTTTTTTTTAAATTAAACTTTTTTCTTCGAGCAACAACTTTGGCAGCATAAAGTGGGAAGACACAAACTTTTCTCAACTTTCAGGTGAACGATTTGAGAGACTTCCAATGAGAGCACAGGATATCAATGATTGATATTATCGCAGGTTAGTAAATACTTTAGTGGGTTACCTCGACAACCAGAGCCTGGAATACCCACTAGCAACCAGCTTTAAAGTGAGGACAAAGTGGTTGTTAACGAATAGATGTCAAAAATTAGTCCCCACTTCATGTTGTCTGTTCTTGCTTTAAGCCCCTCAGTTTAGTTATTTTTCTATGACTCTCGCTGCATTGTTGCTGAAAATTGGTGTCTGTCTGGTTGCTCCTTTAAAGTGTGTTTGCCAACTTAAAATGTAATAGACAAAATTATTAAAAAAAGAAGAAGAAGAAAGATATTAAAGGACAAAAACAAGTGCCAATGAATTAGTTTAATAAACATCCAGTAAGCCTGGAGGCACACCAAACATTGACTTGTATAACATCAAGACCCAAATCAAATACTGAAATTTGCATTTTGTGCATCTGTGTTGGTAGATTGTGCAGTGGTTTTAACAGAAAGCTGATGTTTATCTGTTAAATGGAAAATAAGTGTGATGAAGAGCTGAGATGCAATCATTGCATCTTTATTAATAAAAGGCCTATTGGAGATGAGTCAACACAGAAAGTTTATTACCACCTACAAAGGTGTTTTTGTTTTTTGTTTTTAATTTCCATTATAAAAATGCTTTTACACTGCATTTATAAAAGAGCAAAATATTATGTATTTTCCATTTCCATCCATTTGCCTGAGGGAAAAATGCACTAATGTAAAAAAATGAAAGACTGGCAAGACAGTCTTGAGAATGATATGAATGCAAAAAGAATATGGATACATATTTATTCAAAAATGATTTCTCAGCTATAATTAGAGTACCATCTGGAAAATCTAGAATTATGTACTATTTGGGTTAGACTATACTGATACTTTTGTTTTTGTGGTACACCTTCATTTTTGATAAAACCTGTATGAAAAGTTAGATGAAAAAAATAGCTATTTTTCATTTGCAAATAATATTTAGATTTATTTTGCATTATTGTCAAGTACAAATAAATGCCATTCAGAAATTGTCACTAGTAGTCTTTTGCAATGTGATGTTTTTTTTAAGTTTATTTATGTGTGTTTAAATATCAGAATAAAATCCCGGTTATATTCCATAATTGATCAAGCAGTGCGCCTTTTCTAAAAATAAAAAAGTCGTTTGTTTGTGAGAGATGAGCCGAAATAGAAGATTTACTTGCACCTATTATTTCGATTTTTTTGTCTGAAATAAAAGACAAAAAAAATGCATATATGCTGTATTTACTGAGGGCTGCGAGATTACGGATTTTTTTCATCCATTTGCCAGCGGGAAATGCGCTAATGTAAACCTGCCAGACTACAAAAGTGAGCACTTTTAAACCTAAAAAACAAGAGATTTCTAAAGAAACAGTGGAAATCCAATGAGAGCAATTGACTGCTAAATGTAGTGACCGGCTGGTTATAACTAAATACTGTTGAACGCTAACACCTTTTTGTTATTGTCTATCCAATATGGTGGACCAGTGTAGGCCCCCACAGCTGGCAGGAGTAACGGAGGGTACCTGCTACAAGGGACAGTGGAAATTTTTTAAACTTAGCAATCCGCAATATAGCTACCAATCACTTATAGAACACAAAGACACAAGTGTCAAAAGAAAAAAGTGTGAAATGTCAGTACTTACATCATATAGGGATCTTCATCAACGTCACTCAAGAACCGAAACATGCTAGGTGATTTCTCAGCTGGCTGATTCGAGCCAGCTAGCAAGGTAAACAGTTTTTAAAGGCTGATAGAAAATGAACTCAAACTCGATTTAAGCTGAAGTGGGGGATCTTTTACCAGCTACCTCTCGAAAACCACGCACAATTACTACTGCTTAACAAGGAGGCAGAAATCGTAGCGTCTCAATAAGCAGCGATTTCCAGAAACCTGGAGAAAACACAAAAACGGAAGTCAGTCCTCTGACAAAGGGAAGCAACGCTGCTATCAAGGTAGCATCAAAGCTAACAAAGCTAACTTCCGGTTAGCATATTTTCACAATAACACGTTTCCGGAGAGGCTTCTAGGGCAATTTTCGGCACTTTTTCTGCAGATTAGGGGTGTTTACAGGTAACTGATACACATGCATTTAAATATATTATTATTTCAATTTAATATGTTTATATTATTATTATTTTATTTTAGTTTTATACTTTATTAAGATATTTTTGTTGTTTGATATTTTATTGAGCTGTACCATAGTACTTATTTAGACTACTTGTTATACGTTTGTTGTGTTTAACTTACAATTTAAAGGAATTTTCCAACTCTGGGATAAATAAAGTCTTATCTTATCTTTTTAGCTTTCCAGTCTTTCTGAAGTTTTTCTTTAAACACCGGTTTCCTACTAATTCGCAGTCGATTTCTTGTACCTAAACATTTATCATTCTTTTTTTTTTTCATTTGCGAAACCAATTAACACTGATCTATAAATCAGGGGCAAAAAGGGAGCAACTAACTCAAGAAAGGAACAACACACAACATAGCAAAGAACCATTTTAAAATTGTATGTTTAGGTACTTTGTTACTAGCCCCATGTTAGAAAACATATGGTTTGCTCGCATTTCTTTAGCTGAATCTACAATCAATCAATCAGTCTTTACTGACAGACTTTATGTCCTTAGTTAAAACTTAATAGATCTTGGCATGGTATGCCATAGGTTCTTTACAAAATTGAGGAAACTGAAAAAATCTGAAAATCATCTCCTTAAAAAATAGGTGTGTGTGTGTGGGGGGGGGGATCCAGCTGAAGGGATGCATCTGGCCCTTCATGTGATTCCTGTACTGTTCACCGAAGCCTCATCAGAAATGGCCTCAGTGGAAGGATGGCTGTCAACAAGCTGTTGTTAAGGAAGAGAAACAAAGATCCAAAACAAAAGGCAGTCAACATCTGAAGAAGAGCTTCGACTGACCTTCAAAAAGTCTGAAGAGCTATTTCTGAAGACTATTTAAAGATCTTACAAGAAAGCTTCAATAGACAGTTCAGGCTTTGTTGGATAATAAAGATGGTCATACAAAATATTCACTGTCAAGCTCATGTGATTTGTACAAACACTGTTTATGCCTTATGTGCTTTTTGCCATGTGAAAAAAAGCAGAAACGTGTTGCAGTTTGGGCAGCAGGCGACGCTCTTTCTTTTGTATCGATTCTACAATCGGGACTGGGTCCCGGTTTGCTATGCGCCTGCGCACAAAGTAATTCGACCCTCAAACCCGGATGTAACCAACGCCTAACCTGTGGGAAGAAAAACGGTGAGTAGAGTTACAAAAACTGCTTAAAACTACTATTTGTGGCTAATTAGAGTAGGCGACAGATGCAGGAGAGTCCCTCTAACAATGTTCAGTCTAACAGAAATGAAACGTTTGTTTCTAGATGTTTTAAATCTGCGGGGTGGTTAAAGTTTTCTATCGATCAGGGTTAATTCAGAGCGGACAAACATTTCTTTAATGAAGCTGTCATGATTGTTTGTCAGCTTTGGTAGTGTGATTACTTTCATTTTGATCGATTTAGATCCCGCTGTACATTGTAATTAAATAAGAAACCCAACAGTGACAGTATTTTCACGCTGCCTGTCCACTGTTCACAAATCTGATTTAATTTATTCAGCCAGACTCAGTCTTAAATTATTATTTTTTTATATGTTGGCTAAAACATATCATTTGCAGGTGTTAAACTTAAAGATAACAGATTTACAGATGGAGTGCTTATTTAGCGGAAGTGTTTGCAGTATCCGCTTCTAAATGTCATTTTGCTAATAGGCGGCATTTTCCTTTAACATCCTCGCTATGCAGCTTATGCGGAAGCTATTCACTGTCATTAATTTTTCGCTTGCACATGTAATAACAAGCCAAATAAGAGTACCTCCAAACGGTATGCACGCTGCTTAAACTCACACCTATATACAGCCGTATCCTTCATGTTTTTGTTTCATTTAGACTAATTTTGCATTCATTTTTATTTCAAAGTAATTTTTAACTTTGCAAAATTGTTTGTCATTTGTTTATTCTACTTATTTATTTAGGCTGTTTTGATTGTGCCAAACAATTTTGTCAGTTTTGGGGATAAATAGTTTATCTTGTCTCATCTGGTCTGATCAGAGCCTATTTGATGGAATACATTTTTTTCTTTCTTTTTTTTTTTTTTTAGCATTGTTCATCATACGGCAAATGTATCTGTTTGTTTTTACAAGTAAGACCTGGGCCCAACTGATATAGGATTTTAAAGATCGACACTGATATTTGGCAATTTTAGAATCCAATATATCAACCAAATTTGACCAACATTTCTTATGTGTAGTTATTTAGTTTAGTACATGCGTAGAGTTCTTACTAACATAATAGAAGTGCAATTTAAAAAAGAGGGAAGTTGGAGAGGGCCCGATGGTGGACAAACTGTGCAGCGTCAACACTGATAAAACCACTGAAAGATGTTTTCGCTGTGTCTTCTTTACTGTTTTTTCTTTTATTGTGGAAGATGCAACAGGATGTGGAGTGTGGTAACAAAGCACTAACAGAAACAAGAAAGAAACAATTGTAAAAGAGAAACAATCCATCCATATTTGTACACATGTTGTGTGGTTATGTGCATTATGTGGATAGGTGAAGCTCTATTCAGTCTCATTTATCAGCTGTTATAAATGCCAGTAATGACAGATGTGGACCAATAGATGAGTGGCATATATCGCTGATAAAGCTGTCGGGCTCTAACTAATGCTCTCTCTGCATGCTTTTATGCCTAATAACTTAATTAGTTCGTTCTTCGAATAAAAGTCGTATTACTAGAGGTCTAAGTCACATAAAAATGCCTTGGTATAATTCAGTCTAGTTCAGCAGCACCATAAAAGTTTAATTCATTTGTCTCAAACTGATTCGACTTTTACTGAATATTATAATTGTCATGAAGGGTGGATCGGGTTGCAGTTGTTTTAGGTGCTGCACATTAAAGTAGCAACAGAAATGTTTAGTAAATTTGACTTTTAAATAAGTGGGATGAATTTAATAGTTAACATGTACTGTAGGAAGGTGTGGCACCAAGAAATCTATGAGCAGGCACTGTTTAAATATGCAAATAGTTTATTTGAGCTAAAATAAAAATAAGTTAATACTAAGTATTACCGTCACATGGGATTCAAACTTTGTTGCCTTCGATGTGAACGTTTTATGTTTAATCCATTGCAACACTACAGCTTAGTACCTGTGTGGACTTTTTCACCCTTTATGCTACTTTATATGACTCACCCGAGCCTGTCCAAATAGACCTATGATTGGATTTTCAAAAGCCTGAACACAAAGACCCAGCATCAGCGCAAGGGTCTAGTTCTGGCTCAGGCCATTTGAATTAAGATGCTGAAATTCTATAATGGATACTTTTTTGTCCACTAGTCCTAAAAAGACATACCCTGCCCCAACTGTAATGTTATCGCTGATCTTAGGACATAATATGTTAGCAGTGTGAGCTTAATGGATCAAAACTATGAAAATGGCCATTGAAATGCTGCTGTTGCAATATGTAATGTGTAAGCATTTTACTGTCAGAGTTACAGAGGTTGAGCTATTTAAAACTTTTTTATTTGTAAAAGTAATACTTTAACACTTAATACATAATACTTTGATGTCTAAAATCCTGTGATGCTGCATACAGATAATTACTTCATATATAAAGTTATGTAATCTTTATATGCAGTCTATTCCCACATCTACACTATAAAACATTGCAGTTGCAAGATTAGAGACAAATTCATGAATGATCAGACTTTCCATATATTATTTTTTTATTTTCAACCACTGCCTGACATGTCTTTCGTCTCAGAAAGGCATGTCAGGCGTTTGCTGGTTTCAGTTTTGCACCCCCACCCAAGGTGGAGGAAGGGTTTGTGATTGCTGCATTCTGCTTTTCTGGCAGACAGCAAGAGGGTGCAAATTCCACCAGGCCAAATTCCAGGAAAATATTGACAGAAAAACATAAAGGTTTAATCGTTTTCTTTAAAAATGCAAAGCAGGCCATTGGCCTCCGCTGAGGATGCAGTCTGTAAGTTTATAATTGTTTGACCTTTCATATTGTACTGACCAATAATTGATTAATCTTCAAAATAATGTGCAGATTATTCAGTAGTGAATATAAATATTAATTCCAGGCTTAGATGTGCTGGTTAGATGCATCACATGTCTCTGTGAGTCTGTCACAGTTAGTGCTTGTGTGTTTGTTTCCATGTTGTTTCACTGCCTGTATGTGAACCCATGCGTGATTCTAGAGACAGCACTAAGAGTGCTTGTGTATTACTTCCTCTCTAAGAGTCTGGCTAGCTGTCTGGTGTACTGTTGCTGGCAAACATCTTATCATGTTTCCTACTTTCTGTTTTTCTTTGTAGATGCAGACGATAAAATGTGTAGTAGTAGGAGACGGGGCTGTAGGAAAGACGTGCTTACTGATCTCCTATACAACCAACAAGTTCCCCTCAGAATATGTGCCTACGGTAGGAGGAGGAATTAAGAAAGACCGAGCGATATTGTTGTAAACACGCTCACCTATAAAATTTCTGTTTTCCTTTATTATTCATTGTTATAATGCTGCACTACCATTAACCGCCCTTTTTTGCTTACTTCTTTTTTGTGTTTTCAAAGGTTTTTGACAATTATGCCGTGACAGTGATGATCGGCGGAGAGCCGTATACGCTCGGCCTTTTTGACACAGCTGGTAAGCTGGTCTTCGAAAGTATCTCAGTTTCACTTTTTCTCTCTCATTTCTGTCAGTCTAAAACCTTTGGGAAAAAAATGTCCTTGTTCTGCTTCTCTTTTGATTGCTGCTCTCAGGTCAGGAGGATTATGACAGGCTGCGTCCTCTCAGTTACCCACAGACAGATGTGTTCCTTGTATGTTTCTCTGTTGTCTCGCCCTCGTCGTATGAAAATGTCAAAGAGAAGGTCAGTTTTGAAATCTCTTTTTCACTGTTTTGGGAACAGAGATGTTGACTATTTTTTGTTAAATGTGTTGGCAGACTTACACTGGCCACTTTGTTTTATTCATAATCTATAATCACCCAATCATGTTGCAGCAACTTAGTACCTTTAGACACATTAGGCATTTAGACATGGTCAAGATAACCAGCTGACGGGAGAAAGGTTAAGGATTTAAATGGCTTTAAATGTGGTCTGAGCATTTCAGAAACTGACGATCTACTGAGATTTTCCGCACACAACCATCTCTAGAGTTTATAGAGAATGGACTGAAAAAGAGAAAATATTCAGTTGGCAGCAGTTCCCTGGGGGGAAATGCCGTGTTGATGCGAGAGGTCACAGGAGAATGACCACACTGACAGGAAGGCAACGGGAACGCAAATAACCTCTTGTTGCAACAAAGGTATACAGAAGAGCATCTCTGAATGCACAACATGTTGAACCTTGAAGCAGATGGGCTGCAGCAGCAGCAGAAAACCACACCGGGTGCTACCCCTGTCAGCTAAGAACAGGAATTCGAGGTTACAGATTGCATCTGCTCACCAAAATTGGACAACAGAAGGTTGGAAAAACGTCGCCTGGTTGGACGAGTTTCAATTTCTGCAACAGCATTCAGATGGTAGGGTCAGAATTTGGCATAAACAGCATGGAAACATGGATCCATCCTGCCTTGTATCAGTCGTTCAGGCTGTTGGTGTAACAGAGTGAGGGATGTTCTCTAGGCACATTTTGGGGCCTTTAGTACCAACTAACCAAGCATTGTTAAACACCACAGTCTCCATCCCTTTATATTAGCAGTGTCCCCATCTTCTGATGGCTGCTCCACCAGGATAACGTGCCGTGTCACAAAGCTGTAATCATCTCAAACTGGTTTCTTGAACACTAGAGTGAGTAGACTGTACTCAAATGGGCTCCACAGTCACTAGGTCTCAAATAGAGCACCTATGGGATGAGGTGGAATGGGAGATTCACATCATGGATGTGCAGCCATTAAAACTGCAGCAACTCTGTGATGCTGTCATATCAATATGAACTAAAATCTCTGAGGAATGTTTGATGCATGTGGAGTTGAGGCAGTTCCAAATGCAAAAGGGGGTCCAACCAGGTACTCGCAAGGTGAATCTGATAAAGTGGCCAGTAAGCGTATATAGACCTAAAAATAATGATTATTTTTAAAGATTTCCTGTTGATTTTCTCTAGCTAGCCTAATGCTTATATTTAGATAATTTTGTATGTAATAGAGTGAAGAAAGTGCCATAGTTTTCTAAATTTGACACACAATTGTTCTGTCTGTATCCAGTGGGTCCCTGAGATTTCACACCACTGCCCAAGCACCCCTTTCCTGTTAGTGGGGACACAGGTAGACTTGCGGGAAGACAGCAACACGGTGGAGAAGCTGGCAAAGAACAAACAGCGCCCCTTATTACCCGAGAGCGGCGAGAAGCTGTGTCGTGAGCTCAAGGCTGTTAAATACGTGGAGTGCTCTGCCCTCACACAGGTATGTAAAATCTCACTACACTTTTAAAACGTATTTAAAAAGTGACAGATTTGTTTGAAATAGAAAGTTATGCTTCCTTCTGTTATGCTTCCATCATCTTTTCCTCTTCTTCTTCTTTAACCAGCGAGGACTTAAAAACGTGTTTGACGAGGCCATACTGGCAGCTTTGGAGCCCCCCGAGACCAAAACAAAGAAGAGGTGTGCTCTGCTATAGAACAGTGCTGACCGCGAGAAGCGAAACGGTGCAAAAAGAAAAAATAGGTGGGATGATTGAAAGCATCATAAAGATTAGTGGCCATTTTAGCAAAAAAAAATCCCAAAAAGCAAAGGACAAAACCAAAGGGAAAGGGACGGTACCGTGGCATCAAAATGTATTTTGGTACACACGTACACTGATTGTGCCTTCAAAATAAAAGCTGAAACAGGCTGAGGATTCAAAGTATCAGATGTGCAGTGAATGCAGTTTAAGCACCACCTGTGTCCTTCTCTGAAACCTTTAGAAATCGCAGTGTTCTCTCTATAAATATTCAGGTGGGGCAGGCCCCCCCTTGCCTGTCACTGGTTTTTTATCTTTTCTTTTTTTCCCCCCAAACAAATGTTCATTTATAAACTTGACATTGGCCTCTTCCTGTGTTTTACTTACTGTGGCCTACTGGGTCCTTTAAACTCAGTATAGGGAAGTATAAAAGGGGAAATACTTCAGTTACATTTAACATTAGTACGTTTAAGGGGGCAACTTGATGTTAAGTGGTACTCTACTTGCTTTCTTTTCTGACCTTCCTCAGTTGAATAATGTCAAAAAACTAAACATTTGCTGTCACTCCAAACAAAAGCAGTTGTCTGTAACGGTTACTTTCTTCTAACTAGTGGTGACTTGCAGGGATGAAAGGTGTTTTCACCAAGTTCCCTTATCCAGGTTACTTATGAGTTTCTGTTTTCTTTCTTGTGTATATTGTAAGAATTTCACAATGCTGTTTTGGGAAAATTTTAGCATTTTTTAATTATTTGTTTCCCATTTTGAAACTTGAGTTGTTGTTTTTTGTTTTGTTTTGTTTTTTAATTGCAAGACCTCCAACATTTGAGCGAATGATGAGAAGATTCAAGTTGTAATATTTTTAATGGCTCTTGAGAAGATGAACTTTTTCTAGTCAATTTCTGGGTGTTTGTAATCACAGGATATTTTTAATAAAATGGTTGAGCTCAAATGAAATGTAATCATTGTTTTGTGTGTTTGAAGGCAAAAGACTGAATTCGAAAGTATTACAGAGTTTAAGGGTGTGATCACACAAGTCACACTTGCCTCTGCACTCGCACTGTGTTAATGATCTGGGCCTGAGTATGCTTCTCTCACATGCTCCCCCTGTCTCAAACAGCTTCGTAATTTTATGCATTTTGTTTATTTTTAGATCTTCTTAAAAGCTGCAGCATGATCAGTTGAGGAAGCGTAAGGTATCCAGTGAAGTGGGAAAAAAAATCCCTCCAAACCTATCTGGTCTTATTTGAAAAAAGTAACTGCCCCCTAAACCTAGTAACTGGTTGTGTCACCCTCGGCAGCTAGAATTGCAATCAAGCGTTTTTGATATATGGCAATCAGTCTTTCACACTGATGAGGAGGAATATTGTCCCACTCTTCACAGCAGAATTGTTTGAATTCAGCCACATTGGAGGATTTTCGAGTATGAACGGCCTGTTTCAGGTCGAAATGACAAAGCATCTTAAATGGATTTGGAGGACTTGAGCTATGCAGCCAATCCAGATAAGGATTAAAGGATTGTTAACATGACGCCAGGTAGGTGGTGATTTCTCTGACTGCGAAAAGAAGTTCAGTTGTTTACAAGTCAATAGGAAAACAGCGCCCTTGATCTATGACGTCAATAACCACTTTCCTGATGAGTTTATGAGCTCGGTCGCTGGTTTCAAGTCTTACAGAAAACAACATGATGCTTATTGTGTAAATTATGGCTCCTGTTAGATTAAAAACATGATTAAGCTGCACATGTTTTATGGAGAGGCTTTGTGATTGAAAAGTTGCTTTAAGTGGGCAGGATTTGAGAGTCACATGATGTAAAAGGACTCCACAAATCAATGAGTGAGATCTCTTTTTTTATATAAAGTCTACTAGCAATGACAGTCTGACAGTTATTGAGTTTCACTGTAGGTTTTAAATAATAAATCAATAAATGGTCTAGTCATGCAAAACTAAACATGTACAGGGACCTGCAACTATAACTTCTGTTCCAAACAGTCTCACAGGGTACCATTCAATAAAGAAACACTTTGGTATTTTTTCTTTAATAAACTACTCTATTTATTAGAAACTCAAAAAGACCTAAACGCACTGATTGTGCAGGAAACAGAATAGTTTCATACAAGGACGAGGGACAAAAACACAAGACATGGATGTAAGTGCAGCAAAGACTCTGATATACAAATAAATAAACCAGAATCAAAAAGAAGACATAAATACAGTACAAGTCCAAAGACGTGCTAGCCTATAACAGAATACAAGATAAAAGAAATCTTCAGTGTTTGAGAGTTAGTTCGGGTTAAGCTCTGCTTTAAAAGCTTTGTCAGTTCAGCGTGTGATTAACTGCTGTGTTTGTGTGTGTTCATGCCTACACCTGTATGCATGTCTGTGCCTGTCAGTTTGTCTGTCTTAATATTTTGAGCAGTTTAAAAGCTGAGCAGACTTTTTTTTTTGTACTTCCCGATGGAGCTTTGTCTTTACATTAGTTCTAATTTTGCAGCTTTTACAAGAAAACAATCAAACCAAACTGCAGTTTCACTTCTCTAAGGGAAAACGTGGACAAAGAAAGGCTGCTTTGGACAATAATTACGATAATTTGGTGTCAAAGTTAACCCGCGCTGTGTCCAGCGGTGTCTGTCTGGTGGTTGGTTAGGATCTGGGCTCATTTGGTCAGGCCTTGTTAGGAATTCTTACACTCTACAGGTATGAATGGTGACCGTATTCTTGCACTGCTGGCAACGCACCGAGCAGCACCAGGAAAACTTGCAGGAGCAGCGCTGCACCACCTCAGCCCGGCCTGCTTTGTAGCCTGGCCCGCAACACACCAGCTCGCAACCATCTGGTGCCAGCCGAGACGTTCCTGGGGGGAGGGGGGTTGGTTCAAAACATTGCAACATCACTTTCTAAATTGATATGAGTGGTAAGTTGGATTATGTGAATTATTTTCCTGTGACGTGGTCCTGGGGATCTTACCGTTACATCTTCTACCTGCAGTCCCAGGAATACCATTTTCAGGGTCAAGACGGCAGAAATCTGGGGAGGGTGCAAGATACACAAGATCTCTGGCAGCAGGGGGTTTGACCTGTGAGTCCCGGGGGAGCAAGGCTGTCCTGGAGCCTATACGTGTCAGGCGGACCTGGGAGGATTGTGACATTAAAACACAGTAATGTATACTGTAATAATACCGACTACTAAACACGGTCAACGTTTTTAAAATATGTGGTCAGCTTATGCAGAAGTGATCCAAAAGCTCACAGCTTATTTTAGACTGTTTTTCCTTCTCTTGGCTACTTCTGATGTCAAAGATAATATCTTTAACCCTTTAAAGCCTGAACCATGAAATAATTGCCAAGAAATTCATTTTTTCTGAAAATGGAGTGCTTATTGAACATTCTGACAAATTTTAGAAAATGAATCATATTTGATACATTGGCATTATTTTTTTTTTTGCAATTTACTACATAAAAATGTATTGTGCTCGAATTATTTAGTTTTCGAAAAATCACAAAAATCACACTGATGATCGATAGATCTCTAAAACTCTAAAAATCTCTAAAAATTTTAGGTACTTGGTGTTACAAGGTTAATATGGTAATCCCGAGCACACAGCTCTGGCTTTCAGGAAAGTAGCCCCACAACTTGATGTATAAACCTTCTGTTTGCAAGGAGCAGCCAATCAGAAGAAAACTGATTTAAGAGGAGGGAAGTTACATTGCTTTTAACCCTCATATTTCATGAGATGATGAGCTGAGGGCTTGCAACAAGTAACAAGAAAAATAAATATTTATTTTGAGATGTGAATCATATAAAACTACTGTAGCAAGGTCCAAAAATACAAACATGGAGCTGAAAAAGCATAACATGTTCATTTCGAGATGTTTCAGAGGAAATTGTAGTTTTTTTCTGATAAATAATTTACTTCAGCTCTTGTGATGTCTGCTCACCCATTAAGCTAGGGAAGATAAAACAAGCAGAAGGTATCATCTGTTACCTCTGTGGCTCCATCAAAACGTTCCTTGAGCACAACGCCCACACGCCTGAATGGGGGCATGACCTTCCAGCAGGTCCTCAGCTCACAGGACCCAGACACACCGTGACATTTACACTCAACCTGCATGTTATGAAGGATGGCCTGAGGAGGAGATAATCAGAATTTACAAAAAAATTCTGTAAATTCACACAGGGAGTTGGAAATCTGTAAGGACATTGGTGATGTTGCTAACCTTTCGACCCGCCTCGTTGTTGTGGAGGTTCATGAGCGGCCGGCCTGCTGACAACCCCTTGGCTCGCTCCGGTTCATCCACAAATGTCTGAGAGAAAGCCACACCATAGGACAGGTTGTCACTGCACCCTGACCACTGGAAACCTGTGGTGGAACGAGGCTTAGATTAAGATGATCTGTGTTACTGCGATTTTGTAAGGTCAAAGAAGGTTAGATGTTAAATGGAAAATCCCATCTGGGTCGTGTGAGGCAGGGGGCAGCTGCTACAGTCTCACAGCACAGGTGTGTTACATGTGACAGCTGATGGGAAACTACCAGCTGACATTACTGCTGCATACTTTAGACCCACAATCAGCACTGTAGCAGCCTTTCTATGCTCTGTGTGAGTCAGAGTCGATTTACTCACTATATTTTCATGGAATAGAGTTAAAGCTCACCCTCCGGGCTGACCCCCCTGACCTTCCTGTCACAGCCACACCTCTCCAGCTCCCCACGGGTGCAGGCTCGGGTCACCGCAACCGCCACAGCTGCTGAGGACAGAGCGTGCACAAAGGCTGCCTCACGAGTGCCTGAAACCACAGCAGAGACATGACACAACTTTATTTTTAGAGAATATTTATAAATGTTGCTCAGTGAATCGAGGTTTCTTCAGAAAATTCACTAACTTCATGCCAGTAATGGGTCTACCTTGGTTCATCACTCTGCCAAATACATTGATCCCACGTGGGGTGATGGAACAATTCCAGCGGCGATTCCTGAACTGGTGCTGGCACTGAATTGGACAGCGAGTTACACACCAGGAATGTAAAAGTTTCCATCTCTGCCACACATAATAGTGATTGTTATTTAAATCACTCAGAAGTTATGCTTCATACCTCTTCTATGACCATCTCTGCTGCCTTGCGTACAGACTCCATGACCTCCCCCCGTGCTCTGCACACCCCCACCTGGCCTGGGGTCAGCCCCCTCAGCCGTGCACATGGGGCAGCACCAGACACAGGCCGGGAACGGGGCAGCCTCGCCAGGGAGCTGGGACATAAAAATGGAAGGTGGAGGAGTGATTCACAGTAAGTACGTGGGGGAAGATGCATATTTAAGTACAAGGTCTGGGCCTTTAAAAGAGTGACAGAAAGATGAAAAGGAAACAAATAGAGAGGATGAAAACAAGGAGACAAACAGGCAAAGAAGACACGGAGGGCACAGTGAAGGCAGGGAGAGAGAGAAAAGAGAAAAGGTCACCAGGAGAGAGACAAAGAAAAGAGGGGAGCGACTGAAAGAGATTTAGTGACATGTCACCACCTTTTAAAAGTTATAGCATGACAAACAAACTCCCTCTTTCTCATCCTCCTTCACACACTAGACTTACAGCCAATTGGTTGCCATGGTGGGGTGGGTTGCCCATAGCAACAGGAGGAGGAGTGGTGCCGTGAGATTGACAGTGGAGACAGTTGGCATCAGACTGTCTGTCTGTCTGTCCGTCTCCGTGCGTCAGGCTGGGTCTTTGGGTCCACAGCTGAAGTGATCGCTCCGTCCGTCTGTGTGTTTGTTGCCGTTTAAGTTTAAAGTCCAGAGTCTGGGGATGATCCCCACATATCTGTTGAAATCACAAGTTAGCAGGTTAATGATGAATGCAGAGATGCTCTGCATGGTATTTTGGTCAAGTAAACAATAACTTCCTTATTAGTTTTCTAATGATAAGGTTTATGCAAGTTACTGGTGTTCGAAGTTAAGTCTGTATATGCAGTTTATCATTTTGTAGCAAATAAAACCACAAAATTACTGCGTTATACTCCTGAAATTTCCTTCAGGTTGCAAGAGTTTTAAAATTGATTCTTACCAGTTGATATTTTTGTGATAGCCAGTTATTCTTCTTTCTGTTACTGAGAGGACAGAATATCAAAATGAATCACAATTTTATTCAGCAAAGCTGCTCTTCAGCTTCTCTCTATTGTTGCCAATAAAAGCATACTTACATGACTGTTTCACAAACTCATCCTTGATGCACAAAAAGACGTCCATATGTCCGATTTCAGTCCCAGATTAACTGAATTCACCCCCAAAAACAAGAACCTAAAATCCAGAAACACTAATAAAAGTCACTTTTTATTAGTCAGGCAAACAGTAGCACGGTGTCATCTTGTGGTTAGTTCTTTCCTGGGAAAACAAATGTGTCCATTGCGAGTTGAAAAAGCAAGAATGAGTGAGGGCAGTGAGCTGGGAGTGATGGGTTATAAAGGAGGTAGAGAGTGAGGGTGGGAGAGAGAGGACATCCAGGGTGTGGAGTGATGCTGACAGAGGGAGGAGGAGGAGGGTTTGGAAAAGGGTCATTGTTTTACTACGCAAGCATTACAAGCGTAAGTATGCCCTCTATTGTGTTAATCTGGCATGAAAACTAAAGTCTGAGCCTGGGCTGGTACCTGGACTGAAATCACAAATGTGGTCATGTGCATACATGCCTTAACACATGTATGAACATATATATATGATTTATATCAGAGAAACTTATGAGAACTCCAACTCCAACCTGTTTGTTTCAATAAACTTTTTTGCAAAATCCTCTTGTCAGTGACTGAAACGCAGCACTTCCAGTTCCACATATATGTACACGCATGTGAGAAAGTGTCTTACCTAATGTGTAATTTTCCCAAACTTTGTTGCTCATTTTACGAGTCCAGCTCTCTCCCCCCCTACTTTTCCTCTATGTCCCCCACATTTGCCCTCTCGTTCTCCTTCTCTCTCACTCCCTATATTGTCTTAGAAGAAGGGGTGACATTTAGACAAGGGGAAGAAAACAGACTGCCGACAAATATTGGAACTAAGGCAAATAAATCACAAGAAGGGAGGGCACGAGGACAGAGCGGATCGGTGTCACACGGGAGATTGGGAAAAGCAATAAAGAATAATAAACCAGGTTTGTGGTATATGAACTGAAGACCAAATTCTCAATCAAATTATCCACGTGAACATAGATTTTCTGGAGAATTTGAAATACCCTAAAAATATTTTATTGATTACTGCATGTTGGCTGTTTAGCACAGAAAAAACAAGAGCATGATTTAAACTGTACAGCATTTTTTTTAAAGGATATTTATCGCTGCATATATTTTCATTTTTTATTTTGTAGTATTCCCTCCCTTTCTCTCCTTCAAACCAGTCATAGCAATACTGGAAGGAATCCAGATGTACCTTCAGTGTTTTAGAAATTTGAGTTTCCTTTAGATTTAAGCTACTTTTGGGACCTGTTCCAGTCTTATAACACACTGAAACAACCAGAAGAAGCATGTAAATTATGACTATTTCATTCCCCATATTTATGGTTTTTACTGAATAATGTAAGGTCTTTAAGGCCTACTAAGTCAAACTGTAAAAGATATAAGAAAATAAAATTTTATTGACCTATATTTTTCCTCAGTTGCTCGCTTCCCTCGGGAAAAGAAAAATCAGGTTGTCACAAGATCAGTAAATGTGCTGTTTCAGCTTTCTTGAGCATCAGAACTCGTAAATTAATATAGCTCATAAATGTATTAAACGATCAGTATATGATTACGATATGAATAAAACATGACCTTTAAATGCAGCTTAATTGCACATAATCACACAAATTCCACTTCAACCAGAATCCTAAACCAGAAACTGGTTCTGTTGTTCTGCTAATCTAGGCTAGTTAGCATAGAAAGTAGTTTTGTATTACAGTTTCCTCTGTTATGATGAGATTCAGCTGATGTCCAACAAACTAAGTGAGAAGCATCAAAGTGACTTTTAAAGGTAAATTAGCTACATGGTGAAACTTGCAGCTACGTCACCAGCTAACTATAACCAGATGGTGGTAAATGCAGTTTTGCTTTCTTATCCATTTTTTTTAAAATCCAGAGTTTAAATGTTTAATTTAGGTCCTGATTTCCACATAGTCTGCCATCACTGATGTCTGATGGTAATTTTTGTTGATTTTAAAGTTGAAATTTAACTTCAAAGACTATAAATTAACATATGTGCCGCAGTCTTGTGACACCTAATGAAACCCCATTTGCTCATCTTAGAGGCTCATGTGTTGAATCAGTCAGTGCGTCACTGAAGCCAAACATTTGCAGACTCAAATGTTGGGAGTCCTCGTCTAAGATTTGGTGGCCCGTCTACCTGACACCCAGAGTAAATGGTCACCCATCTCTCTTGCACACTTTCCTCTGTGTGTATCAGCAAAGACAGGTCTCTTCGAGGCTCCCTTCCCTCCTTTTTTAGTCTTCCACATGTCGTATTACTCCTTTGTGTCCCCCGTTTCTCCAAGTGACGTCTTCTGCTGTCTCCCACAGCAACACCATGGAGATGAGCTGGCCACTGTCATGTCCGGCGCCTCTGTTATGCTCGTCCCTTCACCCCTCTCTCGTAAATAACCTGCCCTCTTTTTTTTTTTATCTTTATCTTTCCCCCATTTTGTGGACATTTTATCATTCCGAAATGGTCCCACACTGATTGACTGTAGCCAGGTTGCAAAGCCTAAAGAGATGCTTGTTAAAGCTTCAGCATGACATATATGTGGAGATGAGTTGCTTTCCCTCTGTTAAAGTGGGAGACAGCAGCAGACTTTGAGAGACAACTCTTAACTGATCTCACTTTGTCCACTGATTCTTACCTTTGGGATGGATGATTGGCCTCAATCGGACAGGGCTGCCTCAGGGTCAGTCTAGACTTCACGAACATGCCCCCCCCCCCAACCCCTCCCAAGGTCATTAAAAGACAGAAATGTAACCCATCACCTTTTTCTCACTCCTTGATCTGCTTTGTTACTTCCCTGCAGTTGAGGGCTACCTGCCTCAGCAGTCTGAATGCAGATATCAGGCAGGAACATGACTGTTGTGCATGAGCAGGCTCACATTGCTCAGGCATCTCTGCCAACAAAGAGCACTGCACGCACTGCTGTGTATGAATGTGTGCGGAGCGTGTGCATGAATATTATGGGATGGCGGGCGGTGGTGTTGTCAGGCAGGGAAGAGGGGGTGGCAGAGTGGGCGGCGAGCTGTGTGCACATGGGGGGAGGGGGCAGAGGGAATGGACGACCCATGGATGTTATGGAAATATGGCGGTGAGTGTACGTGTGTGTGCGCGTGTGTTTGGGGGGTGGGGGGTGTAGCAGCCTGCTTTAGGTGGAAGGACAGCTGTGCATATAGGATAGAGGGAGCAAGATGAAGCGTTGAAGATGACGGTGTTGCACGTGAGTGCATGTGCACCCGCACATGCATGTGTAAGGGGCATTCAAGCAAAAGTAACGGACAATGACCAGACGTAGGCCTTTGTTGCTATGCGATCTGCATGTCCTGTACAGTGGGGAATACTGCAAAGTGGCCTCTGGAGTGTAGAGAAAGGCCTCACATCTTTGCAGCTCCTGCCCATTGAGATCTGAATCTGATACCATAGGAATCTTTCTTTTATGAATCAAAGCAACATAGGTATCAATAATCAAGACCCACAAATAAAAAGCAGAAGAAAATATTAATCACATGCCTATTTAGCAGTGAAAAAAATAATAGTGTTAATGTAAACTATGTAATTTTTTTCCCCAATGAAATGAAGCACATAGATCTCTGTGAAAAGTAAAGAAATACAGTAAGAAATCCAATTAAAATGCAATGCATAATTAGAGTTTAGTTATCCATGGCTGACAGTCTAAATAGTAACATGTCTTATGCCATAATGAGCAGCAGCCTGCAAAGTGAGCTAGTCATAACAAGCCAAATGCTGCCAAAATTGACATAAAATGTCTGTCAGATATCAAACACACTGAGGTGAACGTTGCACAAAACACCTGACTGAATGCTAAACTGCTGCAGCTAGTAGGCAAAGTATGTGTGTGTGTGCAAGCATATGTCTGTATGTGACAGAGGAATATGATGCTTAAACTGTACGCAAATCTGATTCAGTGTGATTACAAAGTGCTCTTCAGAGTAGTAGAAATGAACGTTTCTCATGGTGAATGAGTAAATCTTTGGAGCCTGATTAGACGCCATGTGGCCTTCGATTGCTCCTTCTAAACTCGTTTATGAGTTCAAACTTTTCAAATTGGACTTAACATTAAAGGGATTTTACTTTGGGAAGCCACTCAGAAACGAAGGGACCCCGCTGAGCAGCTAAAAGCAGCCATTTTCATTTATTTCTTTTTTAAAATAATAAGTTTTAGAAATCAATCAGTGAAGCCACAACAGGGAACTGAATTTAGCAGAGGAATGTGTTGCTGAAGCAGGCACATTTTAGTTAACTTATTTGGTACCTTTGCTTTTGTATTACATATTATCTTTGGTACCTGCAGCTTACATAGATATAAAATCTATCATGATTATTGCTGCTGGTTTTGGATGTGCTGAAGTTCTGGTTGTATTTACTCCAGACAGAACCTGAAGGCAGCAGCAGTGTGCATGTGTTTTATGAATCAATTTTAAGATGAGATAAGATAAGATAAGATAAGACTTTATTGATCCCACAACGGGGAAATTTTTGCGTCATTTTAGCACTTTAGAGAAAGTTACTCCCTTTCGACTGACACTTTACTACACAAGATACAAGATATGTGTGTACTTGCAAATCTGTTGGCTCTTGAAAGTAGATGACCAGATGTGAGACAGATGTGTTGCAGTCGAGTTGTAATGAACCCACTAATAACAGTCTAATTTAGGAACTCTGCGTATGATAATGGCCATCATTTGTGTACATAATCAAAACTGAATCACTGTGATTAAAATGCTGTGTGTGGCTCTCTTGTAGTGTATCAATAAATCTGTACTCGATCAAACTCACATGTGTCTCATTCTGAGCTCTTATTTGCACATTCAGGTAATTTTACTTCGGAATTACTGAACCAAGCAAACCCATCAGGGAGAAGGTTTTAGTCAGGCCTGATTTTATTTTTCGATCCATCTGTTTTCTTCTTCTTATCCAATTCAGGGCTGTGGGATGAGGGTTGGAGTACACCAGATGGGTCAGTCTATCACAAGGCCAACACAAAGACAGAAAGAAAGAGAAGCACTGGAAACAATTTAGTCAACATGCATATTTTTGGACTTTGGGACACAGGAAACCCGCACAGGCCAGACAGGAAGAACATGCATGCGCCGCACAGAAGGCCCCAGCCAACCAATGGATTCAAGCTCAGGACCCAGGACAGTAATATCCATTGCATCACTGTGCACCCCTGATTTTACTTTTCTTTTAAGTTATTGTTTTTTTGTGGTGGAAATGTGCTGTTAGCTTTTTATTTGTTTCAACACCCAGCCCCTTATCTAACAATTCAAGTCAATCCAGTTTTATTTATATACTGCCAAATCACTAAAACAGTTGCCGCAAGGTGCTTTATATTACAAGGTAAAGATGCTACAATAATACAGAGAAATTAGAGAAAAACCCAACAATCATATGACCCCAAGGAGCAAGCGCTTTGGCAACAGTGGGAAGGAAAAACTCCCTTTTAACAGGAAGAAACCTCTAGCAGGACCAGGTTCAGGGACCTGCCACGACCGGAAGAGAGCCAGAGATGAGTAATAACTAAAAAATTAAATGCAGTGAGATGTATAAACACAGATATAAAGAACCAAAAATGTGAGTGTAAAAAGTGACTGAAGAAGAAACACTCAGTGCATCATGAGAATCAGGGTCACCTGATCCAACCCTAACTATACGCTTTATCAAAAATGAAAGTTTTAAACCTAATCTTAAAAGCAGAGAGGGTGAATCCGAGCTGGAAGCTGGCTCCACAGAACATGGAACATGGCCTGAATGCTGAAAGCTCTGCCTCCCATTGTACTCCAAGAACCACAGGTAAGCCTGCGGGCTGAGAGCGAAGTGCTCTAATGGGGTGATATGGTACTATCAGGTCATTAATATAAGATGGGGACTGATTATTTAAGACCTTGTATGTGAGGAGCAAGATTTTAAATTTAATTCTGGATTTAACAGGGAGCCAATGAAGGGAAGCCAGTAAAAAAATATGCTCTCTCTTTCTAGTCCCTGTCAGTACTCTCACTGCAGCATTTTGAATCAACCGAAGGCTTTCTAGGGAGTTTTTAGGCCTTCCTGATAATAAAGAATTACAGTAGTCCAGCCTAGAAGTCATAAATGCATGAACTAGTTTTTTAGTGTCACTCTGAGACAGGATGTTTTATTTGTTTAATACGTGCTTTGAAGGACATATCCTGGTCACAAATGACACGAAGATTTCTTACAGTGTTATTGGAAGCCAAGGTAATACCATCCAGAGTAAGCATCTGGTAAAATACCACATATCTAAGATTTTTAGGCCCGACTACAATAACATCAGTTTCATCAGAATTTAGAAGCTGAAAAATTGAGGTCATCCAGGTCTTTATGTCTTTAAGACATTCCTGCAGTTTAACTAATTGGTGTGTGTTATCTGGCTTCATAGATGGATAAGTTGGGTGTCATCTGCATAGCATATATGCTATGATACTGCCCAAGGGAAGCATGTGTAATGCAAATGGAACTGGTTCTAGCACAGAACCCTGTGGAACGCCATAATTAACCAAAATGTGTAAAGAGGACTCTCTATTTACATGAACAAATTTAAGTCTATTAGATAGATAGATAACTCAAACCACTGCAGCGCAGTACCTTTAATACCTACAGCATGCTGTAATGGTCAATGCAATTGAACATTGCACTGAGGTCAAGCAGGACAAGCACAGAGATGAGTCCACTGTCAGAGGCTATAAGAAGATCATTTGTAACCTTCACTAAAGCTGTTTCTGTGCTGTAATGAGCTCTGAAACTTGACCGAAACTATTCAAATAAACCATTCCTCTGCAGATTATCAGTTAGCTGTTTTACAACTAGTCTTTCAATATTGTGTATTTTGTATAATTTTTCCAGTGACAGGTCATTTGTCTCATCATGCATAATATTTTCCATGATGTGTCATGGGTGAGGTGTTTTGAGTCTTTCCAATTTATAATCTTTGAGAAAACCCAGGCCTCACTGAAGAGATTATGTTTGTCAGCTGACTTGGGAATGCCACAGTGACTGCTCCCACAGCTAGTAGATGTGTTCTGGGAGGAGAGGGAGGTCTCCGTGGTTGGATGGATGAATAATGTGTAACATTTGGTATTTAAAGGTTTCCTTTTTTCCCCTAAAGCAATGCTGATGTTTAAATAATGGAGGTCCATGGGTGTTTTTAAATCATTCTTCTGGATACAAACCAAGTAGAAACAACTTTTAGTAGAAACAACTTTTAAATGATCTCTGCATGTGTCTTTCTGAGCTCGTCACAAAATATATTAATCCTCCTGTAAAGTCCCACACAGTGAAGTAATGTTACTTTGGACTCTGTACATTTAAAACATATGTCTGTTATATTTATAGTACAGTCATTTACTTTAGGGGTAGTTACATAAGTTGCTAAATGCAACATATGTAACTAGCACTATTAACACTATAATCCACTCTCTAAACACAAACAGATTATAAAACTAGGATATCATGGCTTTCATTATTTCTGCAAATATTCAGAGGGTGGACGTGAGGATCTAGTGGGTCGGTGTTGATACACTTTAACAAAACTTCTCAAAAAGTTTTGTAAAAGTCCCAAATTAAACTTAAGGAGGGAGTATTTGTTTGTTTATTTTTTTAAATGAAGGAATTACTTTCTAACCACTGCTGTGCTGGTACATACCTGCTGGTTTGTGATGCGGGTGGAGGAGATAATCCTGGAGGAACCTGGAGGCAGTCTTCTCTGTCACTGGGGTGGCCCTGGGTACTCTCCACCTGTGCTGATACCACAGGAACAGGAGGCCCAGAGATCTGCAGCACTTCCTGCTCAGCAGGCCTGTTTGACCCGAACGCAGTCGGCATGCTGCCTACCTGTATGAATCCAAAGGAAAGAGTGAAGGCTAAATGACTTCTTGTTGTAGTCCTGCTCACTACCAGGTGGATGCTCTGTGAGTATTATGGTCTGTCACCAGTGGACTTGCGCTCCCCTGGAGACCCAGCTCACTAGTGTTTTTTTGTTCTCTTTCTTGTCTTTTTAGGAGTTGTATATTATGGGATGTATACTGCTACTGCTTGAGTATTATGGTCTGTCAGGGAGTAGGGGGGGTGTCACCATGACAACGGGGTTGCTAAGGGGGCTGGGACTGCCAGTGGAGAGGGGAAGGAGTGTGAGTGCATGCAGTGAGCATGGTGCGTGTGGAAGTGTGCGTGCGGGCGCGCGCGTGGTGGTGGAGGGGTGGGGGGGTGGGGACAGGCTTGAGTATTATGGTCTGTCCGTTGCGAGGTAACTATGCAGAGTCCTGTGTGAGTGTGGGAGGGGGGAGATTATTATGGGATGTCTGCCCCCTTTGTGTGTTTGTGAGGATGTTAGCTAAGCGCTGCCTGTAAGGGCTGGGGAGAGCGAAGAGGGGGACGGAGCAGCGTGTTTTGGGGTCGTTGACGGCTCGTTTTTTGAATTTCCCTCATCACCCGTTTAGTCGGGCTTAATGAATGAACCTTGCCACACAAACAGGCTGATTTGTGGCAATTCTCGCACCGACAGAGAGAGAGGAAGAGGGGAGGGGGGGAGAGCACACCTCGAGCCGGGACTACAAGCACACTACTGTAAGTTTCTAATGTTAGGAGATTGGCTTCGTAATGCTTCAACTTTGCTCTCATACAACGCTTTAACTCAACAGTCCGATTTCACGGTGTGCATTTGAAGTAACCACGGATGCCACGCTGAAGTTCATTGTAAAAATATACCTGGAAATCAACAGCCGATAAATGTCACAGATAATGAAGTTATCCAACTTGTTTGAGCAGGCAGGTGGACAATTAGATGCTGTGTAAATAATAGGAAACGGGCAAGGCTTAGCTACCCTCCGATGCCATTTATTGCTATTATTATTATATATATTTTTCTCTCCAGCACCCACCACCACCACCACTACTACCCCCTCCCTTCCTGGACACCCCCGGTTCATTCTCCACCAGTCCCACGTCATTTTCCCTCCTCCCTCGCCGACCGAGGAGCAAGGTTTAGGAGGGATTAATTCGACCAGCAAGAAATAAATTTAAAACGCAGGGGAAAATGTCGTGCAGCGAGGATGAGAGGGAAGACTTTGGGACCGCGGACGAGCACTCACTAATTCACGGTAAGCTCGCCTGTTATTTATTTATTTTTTTTTAGCCTCCGAAGAAGAAGGTCCATCTCCGTAACTTGAGCTCGCCTTCAACGCGATGCTAATGCTAGCTTCAGCTAGCCGTGAGTAGTCTGCCCGGGCCGTCCGTCACTCGCCATGATAGATTAGTTAGCTAACTTGGCAACCAAGTGTTTAGAGTTTCTCCTTTTCCTCTTCGGCCCCCTTCTTCTTTCGCGGGTCCCTCCGCGAGCGTGGGCGTGAGCTGTCAAAGTTTCAAACACAGAAAACGGACAAGTTTCAACCTGCGCTTTTGTGGCTTTTGCCTTGTGTGTGTCTGCGTGCGTGCACGGACGTGTGCCAGTCGTGCCAGTGCGCGGTCTCCTGTTTTCTCCCTTCGGCCTGCAGCGGTGGTGCTCCTGTCCGTGTGTGTGTGTGTGTGTGCGTGTGCATGCACTGTGTCTCAAACGAAAGCGTGTCGCCGGCAGATGAGGACGAGCCAGAGGATGCTGTGTCTGACGTAGAAGAGGTACCAAAGTCCAAGAAGAAGAAGAAAGCCAAGAAGAGAAGCCGAGAGAATAGGAGCAGCAAGCGGCAGAGACCGATCCGAGAGGTGAGTTGCACAAAGTTTTAGCCTGTGACTGAGGGAATCCTCTTTTCTTTTCATTTTTTAAAGATTGTGACAGATTTGTCTTTGTAAACATTTCTGTCAGCTGTCAGCACAACAGATGCTGTTCTGCTCTTGATTTTACTGCACATGCATAAAACAACTAAAAGTAATTCTTTCTGCAAAGTTGTGAAAAAACCTACATGGATGTAGGGTGTATTTAATACAAAATAGTGTAGATTTTATTTGGAAAAAGTTGACAAGATTCAATAGGAAAGTGAAGCCTAGGTTTAAATAACGTAGTAAAGTATAATTGCTTGTTAAAATGAAATATGGAAAACAAAATAGCTAAATAAGGCACTCAAAGAAAGGATTTAACTTTAATAGGAAAATTAATTAACATACAGGAGCTGAACAAGTAAAAATCTAAACAAAATCAACTTAACTATAGGTGGTTGTGTTGCAAACAGTGATTTCATGAGATGGGAAACCAAGACCCAAATACCCTGAAATAAGGGTGTAGCACTTTTATTATAAATTTAAGCAGTTGTGGAGACCGAGTCAGAGAGGCAAGGCTGAAATGGTTAGGACAAGTGCAGAGGAGGGATAGTGGCTGTATTGGGAAAAGGATGTTAAAGATGGAGATGGCAGGCAGGAGAAAAAGAGTAAGACCTCAGAGAAGGTTCATGGATGCAGTAAAGGAGGGTTTGTTGTGACAGAGGAGGGTAATAGGGAGGGATAGGGTGAGATGGAGGCAGGTGATCCACTGTAGTGGCCCTTAAAGAGAGCAGCTGGACGAAGAAGAGGTCAAATCAATGAATGTATAATGAACCAATTACTAGCAAATGTATAATTTTCCATAGGCCAGGCCAGTGCATTTAAAACACATTGTCTACAATATATATATTTAATTACCACTCACATAAAACGGGGAAAACAAACATTAAAATCAAGAAATATTTAGCATTTTTGCTGAAAAATAAATAAAAAGACCCGTTCTGTGTCAACTGAACAATAGATGAAGCGACTGACTGTTTTAGCTTCTTCTGAAATTAGTGATGAGTCATATGTTGACCATAGCAGTGCTGCGAATGACAGCCCAGTGTCTTTTCATTCCCCAAGCCTAATAGAGTGCCAGGACCTTTACAAGAAACAAGACAAAGAAAGATGTCATTTTAGCGTCTAATTTCTGTGTTATACATAAAACCCAGCAGTGTGGTTCTTTATCTTACAGGAGTTGCCAGTCAGCTCCCCAGAGCACCTGCTTGGAGTGGAGGCAGCAGAGAGGGATGCTGATGAGGGAGGTATGCGGTCAGAGAGTGAAGGAAGTGATTATGCACCAGGGAGGAAAAAGAAGAAACGTTCTAGCTCCGCCAAAGACAAGAAGAAGGGAGGTGCGGCGGCAGAGAAAGGAGGCTCGTCCAGCTCAAAGAGCAAACGTAAAGACCCAGAGCCAGAAGATGATGAGGACGATGACGATGATTGCCAGGTAGAGTTTAATTCATGCCCTCATGCAGACTTTGTTTACTTACTGCAGGGCTGACGTGTGACATTAACCTTCCTCGTTGTCCTTTTCGACTCTCTCCTCCCATCTCAGCCGAAAAGCTCCACCCAGCTGCTGGAAGCCTGGGGCATGAAAGACATTGACCACGTCTTTACTCAGGAAGACTACAGCTCCCTCACCAACTACAAGGCCTTCAGTCAGTTTGTCAGGTGACGACACCCTCATCATTATTAGCCTTTGATAGTAAAGTCTGCATCTACTCTGTTACTACAGATTTGTGCATAAATATTTATGTAACAGTATAAAAATGTTGCCCACTTTGTGTTTTTAGGCCATTAATTGCAGCTAAGAACCCCAAAATTGCTGTGTCCAAGATGATGACTTTAATGATGGCTAAGTGGCGTGAATTCAGTACAAACAACCCTCTGAAGGTATTAAATATTGAGGTCTTTTGTTCTTCTGTAATACTATACACTTCTAGAGAGCAGAGGTTCTCACTGTGTGCTTTTGTTTCCCCGCAGGGTTGTGCCACTGCTAATGCAGCCCTGGCAGCTGCCAATGTGGCGACAGCTGTGGAGAACATGGTGGTGGCAGGGACAGAGAGCGGGGCAGATACCGCTCCTGCTACATTGACTCCACCTGTTTCAACTCCTGCTGCTGCTCCAGCGCCTACTGCACCCCCAGCAGCCCCAGCACCTCCTCTCCGCAAGGCCAAGACCAAAGAGGGCAAAGGTAGAATAGGACAGAGTTTATGACTTTATGAAGTTTATACAGAATTAAGATTTTGACTGTTTTAAATAAATTTATATTTCCTCTTCTCTTGAGGTCCCAATGCTCGTAGGAGGTCGAAGCCTACATCTAAGCCTCCACCGAAACCAAAACCTAAGAAGGTGGCTCCACTCAAAATTAAACTTGGAGGCCTCAACAGCAAGAGGAAGCGCTCCTCTGTGAGTTATTAAAATTGGCACACAGTGACTTTATTTCTACATATTTAATCACTGGGATACAAATACTGATGATGTGCTGAAATGAAACAAGGTACTCATATCAATCTTTTCCCTTCGCTTGTTGACTTCATTAGAGCGATGAGGACGAACCTGATGTTGACAGCGACTTTGATGATGGGAGCTTCTCAGTGTCAGATGGCTCCAGCCGCAGCAGTCGTCCTAAGAAGAAGCCCAAAAGTGCAAAGAAAAAGAAAAAAGGTTGGAAACATACTGCAATAAAAGTGTGATATTATATCAGCATTTCCAGGAAGAAAAGAAATGTGTGTAATGTAGGTGGTTTGTTTAACAAGAGCAAAGTCAAGGCTGAAGTGAAGGCTGATACCTATTTTTTTCCTGCTACTTTTCTGTCTTTTCTCAGTGGAGACAGAAGATGGTGACGGCTATGAGACAGACCACCAGGATTACTGTGAGGTGTGTCAGCAGGGAGGAGAGATCATTTTGTGTGACACCTGTCCGAGGGCTTATCACATGGTCTGTCTGGACCCTGACATGGAGAAGGCACCTGAGGGCAAGTGGAGCTGCCCGCACTGTGTGAGTACTGGAACCCTGAATCCTCTGAGAGATGTGCAT